GGGGGGGGTGGGGGGCGGTTCACATGTAGTCTTGTAAAGCCTGGCTCTCTTGGACTGAAATTCACACAGGACTAACTTTGATTCGCATAGCCCTGTATGACGTTACTTGGGCTTTAGTCACAGAGAATGACCCAAACTCAGGCCCTGGGTGTTACATAAATGCAGTTCCAGTGGGACAGTCTGTGACCTACAGTCTGCTCAGTCACTTGCTTTATTAACAAAATTTCATTTTCCAATTGCAGGCTCTTATTTTTCTCATAGTTGGCATAATTTTCATGATTGTGAGTATGACTCTTATTGTAATGGACTGGATTTATAATCCCCCAAGTTCCAGACATCACTAACCTGTGGAGACAACTGAGTGCTTTTTATACCATAAATATTTGTATTGTGTGCTCCAAAGGACACCTAAATGGGACTGTTATTCCTAGCTAGTAACTGCAGTATTTTGGAGACGGTTTCTGCTAAGGTCACTAGAACCCAATGGAGTCTATGCCATTCTTTTCACTAAGGATCGTTATTTATGGATTAGGAACCTGAGCTTAGCATTTCTGGCCAGGTGAAATGAAATGTGTGGTGTGGATGCTTCCTGTTTTCAAAATGAAAATAACTGTGTACATAGTCCTCAAAAATAGCATTGCTAATAACCACAGTTCCTAGAACCCTGGAAAGGTAATGGCCAGAAAACCAGCCCGTGCCTTGCTTTCTGTCAAGCTTGGGAGTGGCTGCCCAGCTCCAAGAGAAGGGGTATGGTTTCTGTAGCGGATATGAAAGGTGGCTGTTCCCTACCAACCTATCTGTCAGAAAGATGATAGCTTTGACAAGCCAGCAGACAAAGCTGAGCATTGGATTTGTTGCCCAAATTCGTCGCCCTTGGCAGGTGATGAATGTTGCATAGAATAAGAGGTCCCTGGTACAGACTCTGTGTGCTTGAAGAACAGTTGAGCCTTCATATTTTGTTGTTAAAGATGCCTGTGCTGGAAATGTCAGGCATTTCTGCTGTGGGGTTTTTTTGTTTTCTTTACTTTTTTAATTCTTGTGTGAGCTTGCATCACTGAACAAGTTGTATCCTCTATAGAAACATGTCTTCCATTCTCACTGGAATTTAAGGAGACCACAACGTGTGGTAAAGCACCCTATCCAGTATTGTTCAGTACATGTCTATTTGATAAATGTTCAGTGCAAGAAATTTTAATTTGCTATATATAAAAATATATGTATTTATGTAAATAATTTTTTCTTCAAGTTATAAAAATGTTACCCTGTGTTAAATGATTTTTGAAATTTTTTTATGATGTGTCACTCTGTTTTCATAGCCACACGCTTAATATTGTTTTGAAGAAAACATATTGGATTGGTGGTTTTGTAAAAGGTTCATTTTTATTCAGCAGTGTTTCAAATATACCTGTAGCAAGCCTTAACTGTTACCTGTGTAAAAACACATTCAGATGTTTACTACTTATATTATAATAAATTGCAAGATGTTTTCCTCTTGAGAATTTTTAATATGTGCCTCAAAGTTCTGTTTTACCATTGTAAACCACAAATTTGGGTAACTTGTTCTGTTGCTGCACCTTAGCTTGTCTATGCATATGCTAGCATTCATCAACATACATAATTAAGCTATGCAAAGGAAAATACATTGCTGACAACCTCAAGTGCATCATGCTATGCAGCTGTGCAAGACAGAAAAAAAAAAAAAAAAAGGTTAAGTTCTGTGTTATATGGATGCTTAATTAACAGTACTCAGTATTCTCCAGATTGTGATTTTGTCTATGCTGCAGAGTACTCACTACATATGCTCTCTTTACACACCAGGGAAAAAGAGAGAACTCACATTAACTCCATAGCAGAGGGAATGAGTGGAAAGGTGCAACTGTTGGTTTTAAGATGCTTACACAAATCCAGGCTCATGTAATTGGAGGATTCATCTTCCAGCTTAGAAAAGTGTTGAGTTCACACCTGAGAACTCAGAAAGCCATAAAGCACACAAAAGTTGACTCTGCTCACTCCTCAGCTTTTCACAAAATTCAGTGTGTGCATAAATGTGTGTCTCCTTACAGGTTAACTGGAAAAGCATATAAGTATATATTCCATGCCAACTGCTATATTTCTAAGCAGCATTTTATCCTCACTTGAGTACTGTATCCTTAATATACTGGGGAATGCTTCCTTGTGAATGCTAGGTCTGGTTTTGCATTTTTTTAAAGAAAAAGGTGTCAATAATATTTTGCTCTATTTTAAGCAGACTAAAACAAATAATGTTGCATTATTACTGAAGAGACCTTTAACGTGGACTAGAGTTAATTGTAACACACCCACACACCTCTCTTCCTGTTGCCAGTACTGACAGTTAAATGTACAGAAGAACTGAACTGTGACTGCATCCTCGTTTCAGAGCAAAAGCACATACAGTGACTACAGCTGCATGTACAGACTTAGGAATTTATGTAGCTCACCTAAAATATAAATGATCTCAAGAAAAGTAATGGAAAAACTATGGAACAATGGCACAAGTCACTGTCTTTTCATGGCACAAAACTATCAGCATCCAAAATAGAGATAGAGAGACTGTAAAATGTCAGTTTTTCAAGTTAAAATATGTTGGTCACAGCAATATGCAGCTGCCACACATACTGGGAGTAAGGGTAGTATTGCACACTAACTTATTAGTACTACTGGGAATGGTGGATGTTGGAGTTCTTGTTCATTTTGTGATATTGACAATAGGACTTATGAGTATTTTTATTACAAAACCATCCATTGATGTACAATAAATGAATTTGTCAAAGACTGCAGAACTTTTTTTCTTCTGTTTTAGGCCAGCAGGAGAAGGAGCCTTTATATATGACCATCACCAAAACTGCACTTTTAAAAGAGGAATTTGTGTGTCCATGTGTCTGCAGATGACCAAGACAGCAGACAGGGCAACCCCTTCATATAATAACCCTTTTGCATACCCTGTTTTGCATCTATTCCTGGAGATGCATAGACATCACTGGGTAGAGAATGGCTGGCATTAAAAGTGGGGTTATCTGGATGATACTGGATGCCTCGTTCTTTGGAGCACAGGATTAGGTGGGATACACAACATAGCAGCTAACTATAGTCACTGCTAGGAGCACACACCAGATGGTACTGCTCTGTATAAATATTTCCTATCATTGCAGCTGTAGGCTTTCCTGCTGTTATGTATTTGTCTGGTGTATAATCATAGCCCAGAATATACTGGTCCACGTGCCACTCCAGCACCGATGAGCTCATGTGAGAACCCCACTTGCAGACCCAGACAGCCAGGGTTTGCCACCTGCCCACTAATGAGAGAAGCACTGCAGACCCAGATGCTTCCTCAATACCTGCAACACAAACACCCTTCCCAATTTTCTCCTTCCCTTGAGGTTAGATATCCTTAATTCCCTGCAGAATCTCCTTTGCCCTCCTTTGATGCTTCTTGAGCTGTAAACTTCTTGTGGCAGGAGGTCTTTTTAATTAAACAATCCAAATTGTGGCAAGTGAATGAGGAGAGTTAAAGAAAAGGAAAAGGCAGATCTTCAAGGACAAAAAAATAAAGCAATGAAAATGGATTTGAAATTTTAGTGGTCATAGAGGCGTCATTAAATGGACATGACAAGAATGCCAGAATGATACAGAAAAAAAACTGAAGTAATCAATAAATATTTCAGCTCTTGATTTTGAAAGCAGCAGAACAAGGGATGCTCATTAGAGGGCAAAGTCCTCTCTAGTCCATATATAATCAAACATGATGTTAAACAACATCTATCTGAAAGAAGGGCAGCAGGCCTAGATAAGCCACAGAGCAGCTGGCTCTGGTGTTGATTTTCAGTGAACCCTGGCATGCTTGGCTAGTTCTCAATGCCTGACATAATAGTAATTAGAGCCAGTCAGCAATTACGCACTGAGAGGTCTCGTTGGTCCTATAGGTGGGAAATTTCCATTCACTTGACTTTAAATTTCAATTGAAGATTTACTGAAAATGTGCTATTGCAATGAAATTCTGTCAGAGCCCAGACAGATAGAAGTGGAAACCTGCCTGGTTTTTCATTAACCTGCCTGGAAAGATGCTGGGGGCTCCTGGGGGTGACAGCTCCTGGCCATCACCTCCCCTGATGGCTGAGTCCCCCCGGGCTGGGGACCTGCTCTAGAGCCATCCTGCTGGTACCCAGCCCGTGCAGCCCAGGTGCTTCAGCTGGGGGTCCAGGGGAATCACAGAGTTTTGTGCTGTGGAGCTTGGCTTCAGTGCTGCGATGACAGTTCCATTAACATTTCCATGGTATAGTGTGCTGTCTAGTAGCATCCTGGAAAAAAAAAAAAAAAAAACCACCACACCTGGAGAATGTTTTTAGTTAATTAAATCATCACTTACCACAAACACTTAAAAGCTTGCGCTGAACCTGGGTGACAAAGACTGTTTTCATAGGAGCATGGGAGGTATTAACCTGGGAGAGATCTCAAGGAACCTCCCATTCCACCCCTGGGTTAGATAACAGTCTTAAGTTACTGTTTGCAGGCAACTACATTGGCTCCAGCTGCTCGTTTCACACATTTTGTAAACTACATGGGGAAAAAAAAAGCAACTTGCTGTGCTAACTGGTCTCACAAGCACTAATGCCTGTGAAGAACTGCTGTTTACAGCTACACAGGAGACACCACTGACACCCCAGTACCCCCTGAATGCTGAGGTACTGGGGGGTGCCCCAAGCTCCCCTGCAGCTGGAATGGGTCGGTGGCATTCGCAGTGCTGCAGAGCTGCCAGCTTCATCAGTGGAGCATGACGCTGCAAGGAGTCACATCATGTGGAGCCTGAGTCCCCCTGCCCCCCCGCTGAACCAAGTTCTAAACCCAATGCATCTTACCATGGTAAATAGCTTTGGAAATCAATATACCGTCCTAATTTTGCTTCATAAAATGATGTGAAGACCTTGTTCTGTTACTAACAATAAAACAGAACATGTTTCTCTCCCAGCAGAAGCAAAACTAAGTATAAAAGAACGCTCACTTGGCCACAGCTCTCCAGGACACTTTGAAGTGGATGTTTCAACTTCCACACTTTCAAATGGAAAGTGTTCACAGCATTCATTCATCTTTACATGCAGCACGTGCCTCTCCTGGCACATTTATCTTAAGGCTTGGGAAAGTTACCCTGTCCTGAGTAACAGTTTGTCTGCATATAATTTATTACCTAGCTGTTTATTCTCAAAAGCAGGGTCTGTACATCCTCACAGGGAAGCTTGCTGATGACAAGAAGGAAGGGCTGCAAACCATCAGCATCAGCCTCCTTTTCCTTTTCTGACCAAGGTGAAACTTCTGCCTCTTCTACCACAGA